TTCTCTCGTGCAATGGGAAAGTCAGAGTCAACATAGTTTGAAGGACTACGGATGAAGGGGGAAGGTTGCTCGCTAAGACTTCGCTGTCTTGTGCCTGCGTATTCTCAATAGGCATGAGAAATCAAAGTGTTCATAGTTTGGCCTATGAATTGATTAAGTGTTTTTTATGAGTGATGCTAAGTTCGCGTTCCAGCAGTTAAGGTCGATGCCTGTTTGCGGTAGAACAAAAATAACATGCCATTTCTAAAAAAGGTTTGACTGACAATCCCGAAGGATAAAATGATTTGCATTTTTTAAAGAGTTTTAAAAGAAGTGAATTGGCTTTGTTTGAGATTTGTATTACACTAAAGTCTATGACATAAGAGCAAATGCGTTCCAAGATCGCCCCCAAACGGGATGTATGCTAAACACTCTAGAAGAAGTAAGGAGAGACTCCTCACTCATTATTTCTCATGTACTTAAGACTCGTGGCGCATAATACTCATCATATTTATACATGTTTTGATTTGATTTGAGAGAGAAAAGAAAAATGCACGGAAGGTCTAAAGGGAAATCATTCTTACATGTTATCATGCAAAGTGGTCCAAAGGTTGGAATGTGAAAGGAATCTCTATCCTAATGTTAGCATGTAAAGGTAGACCTATGGTTGAGGTTGAAAGGGAGATACCCTAATATTATCATGCATGGATTATCATCTAATGTCTATCTTACTCCAAGCTTAATAAAAAATGAAGTTGGACTAGGAGCCTTAAGGGAGCATGCAAAGGCAAATTAAAACAAAGAAAATAAAACAAAAACAGTAGCAACAACAACGCTTCAGCTCAGCACAACAATAAAATCTAGCAACAGCATAACGCAACATTTAACAACATGCATTTTTCAGAACAGATATAGAATGCAACAAACAGAATGACTACATTTTACAACACATATTCAACACATCGGTAAAGTATACAATAACATGAAAAGCACCAAATAAGCATTAAGCATAGATGATCATGAACATGTATCACAAAATCAAACCAAGCATCAAGATTGCAAACGACAAAGATTGAGCAACAATTGGCATGCAATTTAGACATTCAAGGATACACATGATTATGCATCAACATTTAGACAAATGTATATGAAATGGAAAGGATCAAGTATGAACATGTATCAAGTAATATCAAATGATGAACATGTATTCATAATTAAGCATGAGAAAGTTTCAACCATATTGCACAGTTGAGCATTCAACAAGAATAACATGAATATTCATCAACAATCAAGCATCTCAAACAAACACGCATTTGCAGAATCGAAAGCAAACATGAGCATGTTGTAAACATCATCAAGCAAAGAAATTATCAACATGTAAATGATCGACAACATAAATTTTATGTCAAAGATACAAACCAAACATCATGAACATGCATTATGGAATCAATAAGCAAACATGGACATGTATCATGAACTCAGCAAGGTAAACACCAAGAAAAGGAAACTATCATTGTGCAAATGATTATGCAACATTAACAAAACACCAAGAATGCAAAACAAATAAGGCATGGACATGCATCATGAAAACCATGAGTCGTGTGTCGAAGAATCACATTCATACTATAAAATAAGGTGAAATAGCTCAAGAATAATCCACAAATATGCCTCATATCAATCAATAAAGTTTAAAAGAAATAAATCAAAACAAGCTTGAAAATGCACAAAAATCACATTTTGCATCAGTGTCAATCAATTAACCATTTGTAAGGAAAAAGTGGTTAATCGATTAACCCTTTGAAAATTAGCTAAAAAACAACACCTAAAATAACATGGTTAATCAATTAACTAGTTTTTTCTTCAAACTGGTTAATTGATTAACACTGCACCAGAAGCAGAAAATCAGCATTTCAAAAGCACTTTCAACAGCAAATCAATTATTCAATCATTCGCATGTTAAGGCATGAAATTGTACATGAAAATTACATCAAATAACAGTAATCAAACACCAATTAAGTCCATCAAACATCAAGATCAATAATTAAACCAATCAACGGATCAATTCACATCAAAAATCAATGGATATACATTGCAAAAGTTGTAAATAAGCTAGAATAAGCTTGGATCTAAGAATTACCAACCTACAAAGCAGAGTATTATTTTGGTAAGTGTTGCAACCAAAATTTGACAGATCAAGCACAGAAAATCCAAGATCTAATGAATTCCTAGCAAGAAAAATTGAAGAACAAAGCAATTATCCAACAATAATCTAAAAGCTCTTCAAGAAGTGATTCCAAAACTTGATCAAGATCCAAATAAGCTCCAACTTCAGAATTGAACAATAGATGATGATGTAATGGAGGTTTAGCTCGAGAATTCACAAATTGCAATGCATAATTTGTGAAGCTTTTGGCTATGGAGCTTTGGTGAGGGTTTTGGAAGGAGAGAAAAGTGAGCAATTTGAGAGAATTGGAGTTGGAAGTATAGATAAATCAGAAAAATGAGTGAAGTTATGTGAGGTTTGGAGCAAATTAGCTTAAATAAGCTATAGGTTTGGAATGAAAGTGAGGTTTAGAGTGTGGGTTTGAATTATTAGTTTGGGATTAGGAATGGAATTATTTGAATTTTTGGAGGGAAGTGAAATTAATTTGGAAAATAAATCAAATTTTGGAGGCATTGTAGATCCTTCTACTGATGTAAATGTAGATTCAAGTGATCAAAGTGGGATTGCAACTGCTGCATTGCTGAAATTTGAACTTTCTGGGCAAAATTCACTTAGGTTAATTGATTAACCACTTTTGCCTTACAAATGGTTAATCGATTAACCCATTCAAAATTTCAAATTTAGCGCCAAAAGGAGAGAAACTTTGAGAATTGACTGTTGCCACCTGTTCTGAGCATAGTTTTGCCTTTGAAACTTGTCATTTGATATTGCACCATTATAATGCTTTAAATAAGTTTTGGATTCCCTCTTGCACTTGAAATATCCAGCTGAAAAAATATGATTCGGTACCAAATCACCAAGCAAAAATAAATGCCAAAGCCTTCGATGTTTGCTGCTTAAAAACTTGGAATAAAAGGAAGTCCTGAGTCACAAAAACAACTTGATCCCATGTCTCAAGCACCAATGTCATGGTATGATTAATGATGCAAATTTTGGGGTGCTACAGTATGCATTCAGGATAAAGTGTTACATTAAATATGTTTTATTACATTTCTTGATATACTATTACTTTACGTTGTCATGTTATGGTTATTATTGATGTACTCAAAGGTTCAAATATCAGCAAAACATGTATTTTATTGTAAAATATAAGTTCAGACTCTTAACCAAAACACATTTTGAGAATGTATTTTACATGTTAGGATAATAGAATTTGAAATTTTGTAAAACACGTCAATCTTAAGTTCAAATTATAAAATCTGAATCTTATGAACACATGATTATTTGACTTGTGGTCTAGATCACATAGACAATTTTTATGGGCTACAAAGCACATAGACTTATATAAATTTATTTGCTTATTTTATTTACGATTCACAACACAAGACAACTAACTTTTACCCAAACATTGTCAAAATAAATTCTAACCCAACCATAATATACTACAACAAATAGTATATTCCCCATTTGTTTAGGATCAATGTCGATGTTAATTATGATGAGCTATTTGAAGTACCAACTAAATCATCATCTCTCAACCACCACAACAAAATAAGGATGGTCACTATTAAGTATCATCACTTAACAATCAATGATGATGGATATGTTTGTTTCACCAACATGCAACTTCAAAGCGATGATGATTTGAGAACCACATTCTCCATCTTTAGTCAGTATCATGCCAAGAGAGCGATATAATAAGATGCTACCTTGGTCAGATCTTCTTGTGCTATCTCTTCAAATTTGATTAATCTCATTACATTTTACGAAAACAAAGCATGATTGGTTGAACCCAATCAAGTAATTTGTTTGCCTCTTCACGATCTTGTTTAAACTCAAAATAAAATAAAATTACTTCCTCCATTTTTGCTTTATATTATAAGTTGTTTTGGACTTTTTACAAATTTAAAAATGTATTGAAAAGATAAATTAAAAGAAATGAAAAGAAATGTATTATAATTTGTTTGCCTCATCATAATATTGAAAAGATAAATTAAAAATGTATTATAATTTGTTTGCCTCATCATAATATTGAAAAGATAAATTAAAAGAAATGAATGTCGAGAGAATAATAAATATTTAAAGGTGTAATAGTAAAAATAACATTAATAATTATGTTAAAATAATTTATAATTTAATATATTTTATTCAAAACAATATACAATAAAAATGACATCTATAATCCAGTTAAGCCATCTCAATTGCTAACAATATAATATGACTGAGATTGCATAAACTAATCATCTATATAGAAAGGTAAGGTTGTAAAAAGTATATATATATATATATATATATATATATATATATATATATATATATATATATATATATATATATATATATATATATATATATAAGAATGCATATTATACAAAATGATGCATAAGATTGTTGTATGAGATACAAAAAGGGTCAACCAGTTAAAAAATAGAAAGTGAATACCGTGATTGATGGAGAGGTGAAAAGAAAGTCAAACACATTGATGGTACCATCCAATTATGAAATGGTTACCTCTTGTTCTCTTTCTTAGTTTACCATTACAAATTAAACCTTTTTCTTCTCAACCTCTTTCATTCTCATAAATTTAACCCTTTTTGTAACTCGTATCTTATCTCCCATAGAAACACACACTCCCTTCCTCTCTCTCTCTCTCCCCATCATCAAGATTCAGACATTTGATTTAGCCATCACTTATCTGGTAAAAATATATGTTATTATCATCTTGTAGTAGTAACTAATCAAGAATCATTATAACATGTTTGCGTGTGTCTTTGTTTCTTGCTTTTTCTTTAAAGAATCAATAAAGGGAGAGGGAGTTCGACATTGAATTAGAGAAGGAGTTTATTGTAGATCATTGATGGAAGACCTTCTCGGGCTTTTAAGAATCCGCATCAAGCGCGGTGTCAACCTTGCCGTTCGAGATGTTAATACCAGCGATCCATACGCTGTTGTTAAGATGGGCAAGCAGGTATAATATTTCCTATAAAAACTCCGACACAGATACTTGACACGACACGACATGATACAGACATATCCTAAATTTTTTACTTTATATTTTTCAGAAACTCAAGACTCGTGTGATTAAAAAAGACATCAATCCTGAATGGAATGAAGACCTTACACTTTCTATCACCGATCCCATTATTCCATTCAAACTAGTAAATTTTTGTGCCTATATATATTTATTGAAGTTGTTAAGAATTTATAAAAAAAATCATTTTGCATTATATAAGTGATTAATTTTTTCTCTGTTGCAGACTGTGTATGATCATGATACATTTAGCAAAGATGACAACATGGGAGATGCTGAATTTGATATTTCACCATTCATAGAAGCATTGAAGATGAACATAGACGATCTTCCAAGTGGTACCATAATCACAAGAATACAACCATGCAGGACAAATTGCTTGGCAGAAGAGAGTTGCATCACTTATACAGATGGACAAATTGTCCAAGATGTTGTTCTTAGATTGAGACATGTTGAATGTGGTGAAGTTGAAATTCAATTGCAATGGATCGCTCTTCCTGGTTCCAAGGGTTTATAATTTTCAATTGAATACAAAAAAAATACTATTCTTTGTTTCATTATTTTAGGGCATTGTTTGTAGGTTGAATTTGTATTCCCCTCCCTCTTATTCGTCATTGTTCTTGCTGGACCTGCACTCTTTGAGGCTTTCCACTCTTCGAACCTTATTTGAATATATATTTTTTCCTTATTCGTCATTATTTCAACCTTATTTGATTTTAAGCATTGTTGAGTAAATAATTTTATAAGGATTAATTAATTCTAAAGGTGTATAAATAAGTTTAAGAATAAAGTGTGAGTTATAGATTATTTGTTAGAATAAACTTATAATTTTATCTCTAAATTATCATATGCTTTCCTACTTAGTTATGGCCTATACAAAAATAAAAAATCTGCTTAGATCATTAGCATTCACTTTTCATTTAAATAATCACTTCATAATCATTAGTTATTAATTTAAAGTAGTCAAACTATTTATTTTTATATTAGATTTATGGCCGACTTTGGTCTATTAAAACTAACTCAATTCATAGATTCAATTTAGCAAAGATCTCTTCATTCATATATGCATAAGTGGAGTTTCACTTCTAGACATTATATATGAGCACAACCTCTTTTTTCATCTCAATCCTTGATTACATCGATCGATTGTCCACACTCTATGTAAGACGAATTGGGAACGGTTCTAATCGTCTCTTCTATATAAGTATGACTATGAATCATACATATGTATTTTTATTAAACACACACTTGCAATGTTTTGTCTCATTTAAACACTAACTCGAGTATTGAAGTGATAACATTTTGCCGGTACCCCGTCTATTCACCAGAAAACTGTGACCACTATATCAGAAGCCTATCACAATGGTAATCTTTAACTTTTCGTCTATTCTTGAATCTAGTATGGAATATTGGTGTTGTATGTGAGAATTTTATTTTGATTCTTACAAATTTTCCATCAGATTTCTATGATTTCCTTTGTTGCACTGCCACAAATGTTTCTTATTATAGTTTCAACAAGCGTGGCCTTCTTGTAAACATTATTTCAATTACCTTTTCCAATTCTCGATCGAAACAACTCACAATCACAACACATGTAATAATCTATGATCAACTATCTACATTCTTTAATACATCGCTTCATTAGTTCTTTCTTCCATATGCAAAGAACCTCTATGACAAAAATGTCCTTAGACTTCAACAATGACTCCTCAACCAATTATTCCAGACTCTCATACAATACATTCATTCTAACATCACATTCCTCTTGCTCTGTTCTCATTTCCACCAGAACAACATCAACGTTCCTCCATCTTCAGTTCCACCACTGATGCATGAATTTCAATAACTTCAAGCATTACTCAAAGCACCAGAGCCAACAAATTAATGTTGAACATTTTCAATGTGTTATAGCAACAAAATGAGAGGCTTATTCACATATAATAAAATCAACAAAAAATTCTAATTCAGATAGCAACTTATCTAAAAGTGCTGCAACATATGGACTTCATAATCATCTTGATGTATGCTCCCCATCAACATCATGTTGGAATCATCAAGTGCTCATAAGTTGCCAAGGAATTCTCACCCTTATCGTCATGGTAACAACCATACACCACTAGAGAGGTACACGAGAAAGGTTTCACCGACCATGTTGTTGGCCATAGTTTTGTAAAAGTAAGAAAGTAGCTCTTAAGTTCTGAGGTAACTCTTTCTCCCTCTCTCACTCTCTCACACGCACGCACGTGCATGCACACACACATACACACAAAAAAATTTCTAAATACTTTACAATCGAAAAATTAACTTCAAAACCAAGTCAAGTGATTAAGAAGCTATCCATTATCTTTTAAAAGGATTTTTAAACTAACCAGTCTATCGGGGACTCACGCCAATCGATTGTGAAAACTTTTTTGAGCCTTTTAATTGATTGGAGCATCAAGTCAATCTATTGGAGAAATCCTAAACGATTAGGATAATACCTTAATTATTTTTAATAACTCTCTATCAAATATTTCCATATTGGACAAGGTAATCAATTAAAATCAGGTCATCTAATTGATTGGGCCTTAAGCTAATTAATTGGCTCATAAATACTGCCCATGGATTATTTCCTTTTCTAATTTTTCAAACTCCTATATAAAGGAGGCTCACTTTCTCTTCATTTCAAGCCACTTTCCAAAGCATTTCATATTCTTTAGATTTATCTCTCCATTATCGTAGTGTTTTTGATTGAAAATTTTTTTGTGAGTAAGAGTTTTTTGTAAGTGGTTGTGTTGGTTGTTTAATTCTTGAGAGTGAGATACTTTTGGAAGATTTAGTTTGATTCGTAAGATAAACCAATCATAATATATCTATTTTGGTTTCTATAACTTAGCCAAAAAAGGTTATATTTTGGTTATTGAGATCAGCCTGAAAATCTCTATAAAGGTTTGTTAGTTTAGCCCATGGTAAAAGCTATCTTTGATTAGGGATAAGCCTATAAAAATATCAAGATCATATTGTATAAATGTCTGTGGGCATAACCTTTAAATGCTCAAAGTTTATAGTCAAACTCTTTAAAAAATCTCTTTGAGACATGACTAGGCCACTATTCGTCCGAACATATATAACTTTTGGTGTAATCTCTCTAACCATATCCTCTTTAATTTCTGCTATTTATTTTTATTGTTTCAAATGTTGTTTACTCTTTCCTTAAGAAATTAATAACGACATTTAGAGTGTAACTAAGAAAACCACTAAAGTAATTATGAATTTTGAATACCATAATTCACCCATCCTCTCTGTTGCACCCCAAAATTTGATCAACCGGTTCTCGTACTTGGCTTTTGTTTCTTTGCATTTTCGCATTTCTGCATTGCATAGCATTTGTTCTTGAGGCAGGGGATCAAGGTTTTCCTGTGGCTCAAAGTTTTTTTTAGCGCTAGAGACTGAACAACAAGCATCAGAGGCTCCGACATTTATTTTTCCCGGCGATCGAGCGGTCGATTTTATTTTATTCTTGCAGGATAATCTTCAGCTCAAAAGACAACATTCAGGCTATCTCAAGCATTCTCACAGTTATAGTATTCAAAGGCAAGTTTCAGAGGCTGAATAGAACTCAACGATTGAAAACGGGCAAATGCGCATGTTTCCCTCCAAAAGGCGCCAAAATTCAAATTTTGAAGGTGTTAATCGATTAACCAAATGGTTAACCGATTAACCAAATGGTTAACCGATTAACCAAGTCAAAATCAGGTCGAATTTGAATTTTTGAAGGTGTTAATCAATTAACCAGAAGGTTAACCGATTAACCATTGCAAATTTTAGCTCTGCACGTGATTTTTCAAGTGAAGTCACTTTGGGGTCCAATTTTGATCACTTGTGAGTTGATTTTACACCAGAGGAAGGATCTAGAACCATTCCAAATTTTGGTTAACTTTTAAATCAATTCAATTCCCTCCAAATTCACATTCCTAATTCCAAACCAATTTTCACAAACCACACTCCAAACCTCCTTTGGATCCAAACCTAAGGGGTATTTAAATGATTTGCTCCAAACCTCACCAAGACAATCCTCATAATTCCATTTTATTTTAAGAATTCACTTCAATTCTCTCAGTTTCGCTCTCAACTTTTCACTCCCAAAACCTCTACCAAAGCTCTTCTCACCTTGAATTCTTTGATTCTCCATTAGAATCTTTGATTTCTAAGAGCTAAACCTTCATCCTTCATCATCATCATCTCCATTTTTCCATTCAATTTTCGTGCTAGTTTGGATCTGAATTTTGAAGTTGATCTAGAGGAGCTTATTTGGATAATTCTTGCTTAATTTTGGTGGATCTTCATTTCTACTACAAGTAATCACTTGGATCTTGAAGGAATTCCAGATTTCTTGCTTGGATATGCTTAATTGTAGTAAATCAACAATTACTGAAGCAATTCTCCGCTTCGTAGGTTAGAATTCTTGATCCGATTATGTTTTTGAGCTTATTTGCATAATTATCATATGGATCTTCATTTTCGACTGATTTGGCTAAATTTGATTCATATGATCCGTGATCTTGCTGGTTTAATGTGTTCACATGATTGATTGAATAACTGTTTTCTAGTTTAAATTCATGCATAAGTGATTATATGATCATCTGGATTATTGAATAAGTGCTTATTTGCTAAAAACGTTGTTTTTCTGCTTTTGGCACAGTGTTAACCGATTAACCAATTGGTTAATCGGTTAACCAACACGAATATTCAAATTTTCAAACTTTTTCAACTGGTTAATCGATTAACATTGTGCTAGCAGGCCTGTTTTGCTGTTTTTCATGCTTGTTTTGGTATCGCTCCACTTCGAATCTTCATGGATCAGTATGATGCATCGGGAGTGAGATGTTTTGGATATTGTGTCGCCGTTCTTGATTGTTTAATCATGATTGCTTCGACGTGCGTTCGTTTTCCACTTGAATGCATACTATTGTATATGTTGTTCAAAGTGATGTCCATCCTTGGTTTTGCTTGAGTACGAAGAATTGTGGTTGAGATGTGCTTATGGTGGCTGCTGTCCCACACTTATTCCTCCCACTTTGATTCGATGATTGATGGTTGATGGTCGTAGGAGTTTGCTTCTCCCATTTCATCTCATCCTCGCATATTTTGTTTGCATTTCCCATTTGTTTTGCATTCTTTTGTTTGCTTGAAGAGGTTGAGATGTACTTTTGGTGGCTGTTACCCCACACTTTTTTCCTCCCTCTTCTTCTTCGTGTTGCATTGCATGTTTGCATACTTTTCTTCTCTCACTTATGCTTTCTTCTTCTTCTTCTTCTTTTTGTCTTCCTTTGCCATGTTCCCTTAGGACCTCTAATCCTTCTTGTTCAAGATGGATTATGATAGACATTAGGATTGAAACCATGCATGATAACATTAGGGTAGCTTTCCCTTTTTTATCCCAATCATAGGTGCACTTTGTATGAGAACTTTAGGTTGAGTCTTAGTCTCCCTTTAGAGTTGTGTCTCTCTTCTCATCTTCAAACTTCTTCAAAACAT